CTATTCCCTAATCCACAACGGGATCTTTTTGAAAGGAAACATTTTAATCCACTTTAATAAATCCATAATTATCCAAAAACAAATCCAATGCAATTCAGCAATATATTGTGTGATACTGTGTTATCAAATCTTGTCATAAACTTTATCCCAATAGGACGGAAATCTATAGAAAGGAGAAAAGCACTTGTTCGTGATCGTTCATGTTTGATCAGACTGAATGGGTTAACACATTTTCTCAGTTAAGACATTTATAAGACTCGACCTTCATTGAAGTCTTACTTCGTTTTATTAAATAGACATAATACAAATATATTATATATATATATATATATATATATATATATATATAAATATTCACACCAAAGTAAAATTTAATCTCAAAATAACGATTTAAAAAAGTTAAATATCTTAATTCGAACGAATATTAACAAATTCTTCAAAACCAACAATTAGCATAGATAATTAATATTTGATGTTTCCTGTTTTATGTGTGCAAATGTTTTATATGTTTTGTATGATTTTCCTAATGAGCATCTAGATGTGCAGGATGATGGATTTATCTGTTACAGCAATTACGTTTCATGTGTTGTATCCCAAGAGATGATATGTACTGTTCGAAAAGCTCCATGGTTACTTGATGCCAACAAATGATTCGTAAAGTATATCTTTGACTTTGATTCGTAGCAATTTTAAACTAAAACTTATTGGGGACAATGTCCACGTCAATTTTGGCATTTGCGGAAAAAACAATGATACTAATTATAGAAAAGCAGTTTTATCAAAATTACATTAAAATTAAAGTATTGAAATTATCGACAATAGAACACAATTGATAATTGATTTTTTTGAAAATAAATTATATCATTATTTGTGCTTCGTCAAACAATACAACTTCTGTTTAATCGAATTTTTTATTCGATTTTACTATACAAAGATAAAAACAGTTGTCATATTAGAAACATCCTGTATATATTTTTTACTACCTTACTAATATCAATGCAAATAAGACTATTAATATACAATATAATAATGTACAATATTATGTGCAATTATACAATATTAAATATAAATCGAAATTATTATATCTTGATAAGCTCAAATTAGGAAAAATAATTCATGGTCCATGATTATCTTGATGTAAAAATTAAGTTCGAAAGACAAATATTGATGACAAATTACTTTTAATTAATATTACATTTAATTAATAACACAAAAAATGTACTAATATTTTTACGATAAATATTATAATACTGTCATATATTAAAAACAATATTTTAATGTAAATAATAAGAAAAAAATTTTAATCTTAAAATGTCAAAAATGTTAAATATACAATTCTGAAATTGGGCAACTTAATATCGGTATTAACTTTTCGAAAAATTAATAATTGATGTAAATATTATGTATTCCAATACTTTCTAATTTGTATGTACCTCATGTTGCATCAACATATTGGTCAGTATGTCAGATTATTTTATAAATGTAATATCTTTTCTAGCACACAGATATTACATTTATAAAATAAATCGATTAATTACATTTATAAAATTAATCAATTGACTACATTTTATAAATGCATTGCCTTCTCTAGTAGGCATTACATTTATAAAATAATCCGATGTCTGACTAATATGTATAAGCATTGATGCAACATGCGGTACAAATGTAATGTAACAAATAAAATAAAAAATTATATGCAAAAACTATATGCAAAGATAGATTATAGATTATGACAATTATATTCCAATTCTTTATTGTATCCCAAGGGTGACATAAGGGTCACTCAAGGAGCTCCATGGTTACATTATGACTAACAAATGATCCTTGAGAATAATGTCTTATAACAGCAATTGGTAGTCTTAATCTTAAACTCGCAGAATGTGGAATAGATTAGCAAAAAGTCCATATTAGTTTCTACATACATTTCAAAGGAAGAAGAAACAAAAGGCAAGAAAATATATTTAGAAAAGGCACCTTCGCAATTGCTCACATTAAAACTGAGAAGTGCTTCTATGAGATATTTATATAATTAATAATGAGATTAGCAATTTTCAAGCAGTTTTTCCACGACACTTCGTTGTTCAGTCCGTCATCGAAATTCCAAGGACAAATCGAAAGCAAGAAAGAAGAAAAGAGATGGTTATTCTACGCCACAGATTTTCAATCTTTGATGTATCCTTGTTTCATATTGTGCCGCATTTTTGGAATATTCCCATACAAGATCAACACTTCATCCTTAAAAACTTCTAAATCTTATAATATTCCATCAACTTTAATTATGTGCTTCTTTTGCTTTTACTCATTGATAATAATATATATGGGAAACATTTATGGATACTTCCATGACAATGTACGCAAAAGTATTGCAAATAACTCTTTCTACATATTTGGCAGTTTCATAATGATCGTCACGCTCGTCTTAAGTAGTCCACGAATACGTTTGCTTCAAATCATACATCAGATCTCTTCACGACTATCTCCAGAATCATATCAACAATCGTCTATGTTAATTCACGCCAAGGACATTTTCGGTTTTTCTTTCATACTCATTCAATCAGCGTTGTGTTATGACCCGAACTTTCCTATTGTGAACTATTTATCGACAATCTACATGATTCTGTTAGTGTTTGTGATGGATATGCTATACATAAATTGCGTTTGTGTATTAAAGGCTTGTTTCAAAAAAATTAATGACGATCTGGCAAATTTGCTCATAACAAACAATAAATCGCATTCAGTCATGTGGATCTATCATGAGCAGAGAGACCATCTTTTGTTGATAGAGCTTAACGACTTGAAGAAACGGCATTTGATGGTTAGTGATACAGTACAAAGATTAAATATAATTTTCAGTCCGCAACTCCTCGCAACCATAGCCTTATCTTTCATGGAAATAACTTTTGAACTATACTTCAATATGGTAAAATGGAAAAACGGATTATATATCAACCTGGCTAAGCAGATTCATCACACTTACATACTAACCTACGTCATATATTATTTTGTAAAAATAGCGTTGATAGCATGGGCTTGCGAAACCGGCAAAAATCAAGCCATAAAAATTAGTACTACTGTTCATGACGTGCTTAATAATATTAACGACAAACAAATCAAACACGAGGTATTGAAAAACATTTCTATTAATTTTTTTTTAATATTTCGTATAGTGGTACACATTTTTTATATGTAAAATATAATCACGCAATTTATAATCATTTTTCTTAAATATATTTTGGATATTTTTTGTTACAGTTTACTTAATACTTTTTATTACAGTTGCACCTGTTTTCTTTGCAACTAATGCATTGTGATAACACATTCTCCGCAAAAGGTCTCTCACTGAACGCGACGCTTGTCAGAGCGGTAAGTGATCAACCATTTACCGTAATTGTTTGAATATATTTGTAAATTAAATTCTAACATTTAATTTATGATTTTTTCTTTAGATGATGGGTACTATCACTACATATTTTTTAATTTTAATACAGTTCTTGATCTTGTCACATTCTTGTGATGGAAAGACTGCAAGCAATGTTACACAAACAATCTAAATCAGCACAAAGAATCTTATAAAATATATATAATCTAAATCAGCACAAAGAATCTTATACATATATGATCTTATATATATAGTCTTATATATGTATAATCGGTAAAAGAAAAATTTATTTTTTAATATTAAAAATACTTTTTCTTTTTTATTGCGATTCTCTAATATAATTGATCAATGTTTCATATTTGTATAAATACATTTGAACGTATAATATAGTTATATTTGCTTTAAGATTCTCTTAAATTATCAAAGTCTTTGTAAGCAAAAATAGAATATGTGTAATGTATTTTACAACTATGGTTATTTAGAAAGTATTTTTATTGAAGATATTTACAACAAATTTCTTATCTAATACATAAATTAATTTTTATTTATACTTCAATAGATTGTACCAAAAATTAAGACAAATTAACAATTATATCTAAAGTAAATTTAGATTAATATTTAATCAATATTTCGTCAAGATGCATTTATAATTCAAGTTTTATTCATTTTTATAGAAAATTTTATTAAATTTTTATATAAAAAAATGTATTATAATAATGATCGCTTCTTTCTGTTATTGTGCTTAAAATGTAAAAATCTAATTATGTTAAGATAATTTTTTGTCCATAGATCATATGCTGTATCTTTTGTTGAAAAATTAATAAAATTATTAGTTGGAATATTAAGAAGAGAAGACAGTTAATTCTAATTTAGATATTTGTTTATATTAGTTCTAATTTAAATAATAGCGGTGCAATATAATTCAATTTTACTAACTTTGCATTCATTACATACAAGATATGTTCGAAAAGTATTTGATCTTACGGAAGAAATCCTTCTTGAGAGCGTTTAAAATATACAACAAATGCTTCATTGTATTTTGTATTACGTCGTCTACATCATCAAATCTCTTTTTTTTTAATTTCAGAAACAGCCAAAAATCACATGGAGCTATATCCGAACTATACAGAGACTTTTAAACTTCGGATATCTGTGCTTCGTCAAAAAATCAAAGATAATATGAGATCAATGTACAGGTTATCGTGATAAAGCTCTAGTCAACATTTTTTCACAATGAGGTCGTTTTTTCTCACTGCATGAACAAATTTGTTACTTGACGCATTCGGACATTGTAGAGAACTTAGAAATGTTACATTCATGATTTTGGACACTTACACAACTGCGTACCATTGTTGATTATCAAATTATGCCGCTTGACAGAACACAGATTCTCTCCATAAAGAACATTCGTGTTCTACAATGGTATATTCAGGTACAAGGATATTGGCATAGGTCGGATTTTCCAAACAGACCTCATATGTATGTTTTTCGCTACAATGTTAATGCTTCGCAAAATGCAAACGACATTTAATAGATGCACAACAATATGCAATATATTACGATAATATTATATAAAAATCTAGATTAACTCATTATATCTTAATAGCCTCATCAAAAATAATTTGTAATTCATAAACACCTCGATTAATAAATTGATAAATTAAGTACATAAAATAATCATTAATAATCACTTTATCATCATCGCATAATAATGATAAGTGCATATTGCTCCTAGAGCTCGATGGTTATTTTATGCTAATAAATAATTCGTGAGTCATACTTTATAATCCGTAAGAGCAAGCATTTGCAGTTTTGAACATTCACAGCAAATAGTTCGTAACAATTTCTGCATTTGTTCCGAAAAAACAAAAATAATTATAATCACGTTAGAATTAAAGTGCTCATTACTAGCAACGGAATAGTTAAACAATTAATAATGTGATCAACAATTTTCAAACAACTCATCCATGACACGTCGCCAATCATGTTCAGTTTATCGTTATCGAAATCTCGAGAAGAACGAGTCAAGAGCAAGATAGAAGAAAGAAGATGGTGGTTATTTCACGCTATAGATTTTCAATCCTTAATGTATCCTTGTTTCATCTTTTGCCGCATTCTCGGCATGCATCCGTATAAAATCAACGCTTTACTTTTCGAAATTTCTAAACCATATTACATTCTATCGACTATAACTGTATGTGTCTCCTGCTTTTGCGCATTGATAATAATAATAAACATTTCTGAATCGTTCGATCTCAATCAAAATATACGCAAAATTATTGAACTTATTTCGTTCTATATAATCGGTAATTTTATAACAATCATCACGTTCGTTTTAAGCGGTCCACGAATTCGTTTATTTAAAACCCTACGGCAGATCTCTTCAAGATTACCTCCAGAATCGTATCAGAAGCCGTCTATACTAATTCATGCTAAAGACATGTTTGGTTTCTTCTTCTTACTCGTATATACATTGAGTTATCACAACTGGCATTTTTCTGTTCTATGTTTATTGTACTACAATTTGGTAATTTTTCAGATAAATATGTTGTATATAAATTGTGTTTATGTATTAAAAGCTTGTTTCAAAAAGATCAACAACGATTTAGAAAATTTGATCACGAAGTATGATCAACCACATTTAGTCAGGTGGTTTTATCATAAGCAGAAAAACTCTTTTTTGCTAAAGGAGCTTAAAGCTTTGAAGAAACAACACTTGAAGATTAGCGAGTCAGTGCAGATGCTAAATATAATTTTCAGTCCGCAGCTTCTTGCAACCATAATCTTCATCATCATCATCATTACTTTCGAATTGTACTTCAATATGATAGATTGGCGAAATGGATTGTCTATCAGTTGGATCAGACAGATTAGCCACAGAAATGTAATGCCCTACGTTGTATTTTATGCTGTCAAAATAGCATTGATAGTATGGGTCTGTGAAGCTGGCAAAAATCAAGCCATAAAAATCAGCACTATTGTTCATGACCTGCTTAATAACACTAATGACGAGCAAATCAAACATGAGGTATTGAAAATTTTTATTTCTGTTTATTTTTTTTATATTTCGTATCATGATACATTTTTTACATACAGAATAGAGCATTTAAAGTATTACAAGTTATGTAACATATCACTTTTTTAAAACTATATATTTTCTTTACATTAATTGATTTATGTCATTACTTTGTGCATAAAGATATTAAAATATGTTTATAAAAAAATTATAGTTTACGAGATATTTTATGTTCCAAAATAAAATATAATAGTATCTTGTAAACTATCCATTTTTTAATATCCTTATTTTAATACTTTTATATGTAAAATAATTAGAGAAATCATATTATGTATAAAAAAAATTATATTATGTTATTTAAAAAAGTAGAGGCGATCTCTAATAACCTTTGAAAAATCATTCTTTTAAATTGATTTTATCATTATTTGTCCCCATTGAAATCAACTTTTGTCTAAATATATTTTTTATTCGACGCGTACTTTCAAGGATAAGCTTGTAATAAATGTTTAACCCTATACAGTTCATAATTACGTTTCTCAAATTGATTTGTAAATATTTTTTTATTTAACATTACAGTTGCAGTTGTTTTCTTTGCAAATAATGCATCGTGACAACACATTCTCTGCAAAATGTCTCTCTCTGGATGCGACACTTCTCACAATGGTGAGTAAGCAATCAATTAACATTTGTTTGAATACCTTAAATTAAATTACAGCATTTACTTTATAATTTTGCTTTTATAGATAATGGATACTATCACTACATATGTTTTAATTTTAATACAATTCTTGATCGCATCGCATTCTTATGACGAAAAGATTGTAAACAATGTTACACAAGCAATCTAAAATCAGGCTAAATTCATAACAAGAAAGTTCATAAAATATATAATGGGCAAAAAATTTATTTTTAAATACTGAAATATTTTCTCTTTTCTTTATAATTGCAATTCTTGTAACGTATCGGTTAATGTTCTTAATTTACAAATATATTTAAACATATAAGGTAGTTACAATTTGCTTTAAAATATGATTCCTAATTTATCAAGGATTCTGCAAATAAAAATAGAATACATGCAACATATATTGGCATTATGATTACTTAGAATTTATCGAAAATATCGATTTATGATAAATTTCTATCTAATATTTAAACTAATTTTTATTTTATGTCAATAATTTTTCGTTACTAGAAGATGAATAATTATATCTAAAGTAAATTTAATGTTTTAACTTTAATTAAATATTTTATGGAGTTTCATTTGTACAATTCAGGAGAGATAGTTTTATTATATGTATATAATATATGTATATTATTCATATAAATTTCTTTTATTATAAAAATTTATATTTATATAAAAAAATATATATTTTTTTATAAAAATCCATTAAATTTTTATTGAAAGAAATATAACATAATTAATGTGTAATAATATTCGCTTTTTTTGTTACTGTTTTCTTTTATTATCTTCTTGAAATATACAAAAAGTATCTTAAAAAGTTATCTTAAGATCATTTTTGGTTTTTAAGTCATATTGTAAAATTAAATATTATAAAATTAATCATATTGTCATTAAGTAGAATATTACATCCCCGGGAAAAAATGTTATATGTATACATATATGGACATATTTATTTTATATATAATTGTATATGAAATATATCAATTTTTTATGTAATTATATATAATTATATACATTATATGTATATAAAACATTTTTTCCTGGGTCAATAATACTATATAATAAATAATATTAGATCAATTATTATTTACTTTAGATAATTGTTTAGATTAACTTTCTAAATAATAGCATTATTATATCATTATCACTTATTTTTATTAACTTTGCATTCATTATATTATATGTATACCTTTCGCTACAATGACAATATTTCACAAAACACAAACAACTCTATTTAATAATAAAGGTATACAATATTATGCACATTAATACACATAATATTCTATCGCATAATATTAAAATCGCAATTATCATATCGTAATAATTATATCATAATATTGCCGAATAATAATTTGTAGTTCATTCTGATATAAATCAAATTTTTAAGATAAATATCAACGACTTATTATTTTTGATTAAATAAAAAACTGCGTTGATAATAATATTTATATATGTCAAATGTTATAATTCAATCATAATATATTAAAAATAATATTACAATAAAAAATGTATGTATTAAATAACAAGAAAAAATTTAGTCTCAAAATATTTAAAACGATAAATGTTCAATTTTGAAATCGGACAGTCGGTATTAATATATTTTTAAAAACTAATAATTTACCATTATATATTCGATAGTTTCTGTTTTACGTGTATAGATATGATTATTCTAATGGATGATCTATATATATACAATGATGGCTCATATGACAGCAATCATATTTCATTACTTTATGCATTGTATCCCAAGGGTGATACGTGTCACAGCTCCATGGTTACTTCATGGCTAACAAACGATCTTTAAGTCATGTCTTATAGCAGAAACTGGTAGTATTAATGTGACTAACTAGATGTAAATAGATCACAAAAAGTTTGTTAGTTTTTGCTTACATTACGAGAAAACTGCATTTAGAAAAAAAACCTTCGTAATTACTCATTTAAAACTAAAGTGCTCGTAATAAGATATTTATATAATTGATAATGGAACAAAGAAATTTCAAGCAATTCTTTCACGATACTTCATTGATGTTCAGTCCATCGAAAGTCCAAGAACGAGTCAAAGACAGAAAAAAAGGAAGAAGATGGCGACTATTCCATGCAACAGATTTTCAATCCTTGATGTATCCTTGTTTCATCTTCTGCCGCGTTCTCGGAATATTTCCGTATAGAATTAACGCTTCATCTTACGAAATTTCTAAACCATGTCAAATCTTGTGGACTGTCATTACGAGTGTCGTTTGTTTTTGCACACTGATGACAGTCTATGTGATCAACCATTCTAGATGGTTTGAAACCACAAGTTTACGCAGGAGTTTTGACCTTTACGCCTTCTATATATTTAGCGGTTTCATAGCGGTTGCTACATACATTTGGGATGGTTCACGAATGCGTTTACTTCGTACTATACTGAAGATATCTTCCGAATTGCCTTTGGAGACATATCGGAAACAGTGTATGTTGATCCACGCCAAGGATATAATCGGTTTTCTTTTCTTACTCCTGCAAGGATCGACCTGTTTCTTCTATTTGGAATATCCTGTTTTGCTCAAGATGTTATCAACCTACATAACTATGGTAGTGCTTCAGATAGATATGCTATACATGAATTGCATTTGTGTATTAAAGGCTTGCTTTGAGAGAATCAATGACAGTTTGGCAAATCTGCTCGTAATGAACAATAAATCACATTTATTCAGCAACTACGAGGAACAGAAAAATTTTTTCTTGCTGATGGAGCTAAAAGCTCTAGAGAAACAACATCTGTTAGTCAACGATGCAGTACAGATGCTAAATATGATCTTCAGTCTGCATCTCGTTGCTACTATAATTACAACCTTCGTTAGAATTACTTTCTTCTCATATTATTGTATAATATTATGGCAAAATATCTTAAACTTTCGATTAACCAGTTCACAAAAACTGTTCTGTTACATATATTTCATCCCATCCATGATATTTTATTTAATAAAAACAGCACTAGTAGTATGGGCATGCGAGACCGGTAAAGATCAAGCCAATAAGATTGGAATTACTATTCACGATGTACTCAACAGCACTAATGACAAGCGAATTAAAGATGAGGTAATAAAAATAATCATTTAATTCGTATATTGTTAAAAAAAAATGTCTCATATATTATTGTGCTTTTTTGTTTTTTGACATAATTAATTACTTTTCGATCTGACATTACAGTTGAAGCTGTTTTCTTTGCAAATATTGCATACCACTCGTCGAAATACATTCTGTGCGAAGGGTTTCACTGTGGGTGCGCCGCTTTTTGCTGCTGTAAGTGATCAATCATTTACCTTTATTAATTTAATACATATTGCATGTAATTTTGCTTTTAGTTAATAGGTAACATCACCTCATATGTGTTAATCTTAATACAATTCACGAAAATGTCAATTTCTTGCAAATGAATAGTTTACAGTTCACAATATTATACAGATAATATAATTGAATAAAGATATAAAGATATGAAAGACAAAGAAAAGAATATATTTTTAAATATTAAAAATATTTTCTATTTATAAAACATAAACATTCGATATTCTTTACTTGTATAACTATAGTTGCACATATACGTTACATATATGTGTAAAAGCATTTAAAAATGTTACATTAAATGTATGTTAATCATAAACAGAAAATAAATAAATGTATATTATACGAGATACTTATTATTAATTAAAAATAAATAATAATTGCGATAGTTTTGGAACTTTTGTATCATACCAAGTCATAGAAAGAAGGGGAAGAGAATCTGTTTTTGATGAATAACGAAATATTTGCGTAATACGAGACAAGATTGTCCCGCGTTACGAGTGTCGATGATACGATATCGGGAGCGAATGAATTTTATTACAGCCGGCGGACGCATTTAATGCCGAGCAGCTCCGGCGGTGTAAAGGCCTGGATAGGCCAACTCAGCACCCTGATATTTCTTTGAATAGAGATCTGTGTCGTGCGATAGGCTCATATAAAAGACGGGGGTGAAGACGGAAGGAACTCCACCTCTATCTTGCCCTTTCATTCCGCTCTTCGTCGCCGTAGTTCTAATGTCACTTAGCATATCACCACTCTCCGTTCCTTTAGACTCAAATTTTCACGCTCTGCCTCTTATAGATAACTCCCGTAGCTCTAAACTCGTTAGTAAACCAAACTAATACTCATTGCAAGTGACACCAAGTGTGAAATGAAGTAACACAATCTTGAAACGGAACGTACGCCATCATAATTAAGGTACAAATGTCAAAGTAGATCTCGTTAAACTTTACCTTTACCTGATTTAATATGATTCCATAGCTAAATTTCTATCAGATTATTAAACTAAAATTATACATGAATGTTATCGACATATATACGAGAATGTATATATAATACGATGACATTGTATAATTATTTAAATTTTCATCATAACTAAAACATAATATATCTCTTCTCTCTGTTAACAATCACAAGAATCGTTTCATTTCCTTAATTAGCTAAATCTTGCTAAATTACAATTATTACTATTATAATTATTACTTTCTCTTTTCCAATCTCTCATTATTTGCTACTGTTATACCGTTATTATGTAATTAATTCCCACGTTGTCCGAAAGGGATTAATCCTCTGAGACGCAATAAACGTTTTATGTCTACGTCTACGTCCGATCGGGCGAGGTCGTGTCAGAACCGCGGAATAGCACTGAACTCGACACGAGTAACCCGGGAATAATCCGTCACCATAAAAACCGCGCCTGCTACAAGTCCCAATGGCGGAACGACGAGGACATTAAATCCCGACAACATGAGGCATTGAACCGGATGGACAACACGGTAGAGAAAGTGAACCGCGTGAAGGTATGTACACTGGTAGCGGAACGAAAACCCACGGCAAACTCAATTTTCCGTGTTAACTTGGTCGACGAGGAGGTTGCTACGAGAGTCCGGTCTGATCGCTTAATATTCATGGAGGCGTGGCAAGCAGGTTTCAGTGTTTCTCTTCGGTCAGCCAAGTGGGTTTATGGTTGTTTCCACTTTGA